CGTAGCCCTAAAGAAGGACGAGCGAGGTGGCTAACAATGATTTGGTCATGGGGCTGAACCTCCGTGTTGAGGTGGGGTGTAGACCTCTCGGGACCGTAGTATTACTTACGATAGCTAAGGCCAGTGCCTATCCCTCAATGCCAGTTCCCTAGCCTGATGGGGCTTGTCTCTTAGAATGATGTGATATACTGTATGTAGATAGTAAACCTTGAGTGTTTGCCCTCTTTATTTGGGCAACGCGCCTGAAAATTACAATATATTCTTGCTTCTGCGGCGAACGGGCCCGGTCCGGGAAACCTTAGTGGGAAAAAGATGCTAGTGGGCCTGAGGTGTGCCACTAATATAATGAGTGTAAAAATGTTGAAAGTATGAGAAGGTGTGTATCAGAGATACTGTAACGTACGAACGTGGGTAAGCTGAGGGACCTGAACGTTGGTCCGTAAATTAGAGACAAGCCCCTGGGTTCCCATAAATGTGAATTTTTTGAATGATACAAAGGCAAAGTGAGGCATTAAGGAGAAACGTAATCGTAGTGAGTAAGATTACCAATACCTGATACTGCAATGCAGGGAACCAGGTAGCCTGTAGGTTGTCGATGGCGTAGGACTTGGTGAGCTGCGGCAATGACACAGGTCTAAGTAATGATATGTAGAAATAAATGACAAAACATGTACCGTTAAATATAGTAGTAATAGGGGGGCGGAGTCTGACTGCCAAAGCGGACGGTCGCACGTGTCTGGAGCTCCGGGCCGCAAAGCTGAAAAAACACTATTTTCTGATACCCAAACGGGACCAACAGGGCCCGACAGCTCCCCCGGGTGCCCTGAACCCAGATGGGGAAAAAAACAAAAAAAGCGAGACAAGAAGCGCCCCGAACGGGCATGAACATAGGAGAGATGTGGCGGCAGGCTCGTGGCGCACAAGGGCCTGGGATGGCGGCCATTGCTGGGGATTGCTCAGACCTCTCGGACGACTTCTCTTGTGGAACCGATGAGGGCTACACACCTGCTACGGCGCTTCCCTCGCCGCGGATCCCGACAGCACAGCCGGACCCCGCTCCTGTGACGGCCGCACTCTTGAAAGAACTGCTGGCGGATTTACAAAAGAACCTCCAGGCAGACATGGCCACAATACGCCAAGACTTGAAAGGCCTGACTGGCAGGATAGGAGCCTTAGAAACCACCTCACTCTCAGCCAAACAGCAGATCACCACCCTCCAGCAGGAGGTCAGAGACCTGCGAACACTAAACGGCTCCTATGAAAGGCGCTTTGCAGCCCTTGAAGACTCCCGCCGTCGGAATAACATAAAGGTCAGGGGGGTCCCCGACAACGTACCCGAAGCGGAGCTCCCGCACGTGGTAAGGAGACTACTTGCGGCCCTGCTCACACCCAAACTGTCCAAAGCATTAGAGATAGAGGGCATATTCAGGGTGCCCAAACCTGCCCAGGCACCAACCTCTGCCACGAGGGACTTGATCGTACAATTCGTTAAAGGGAGAGACAAAGCAACCCTCCTAAATGCACTACGCGGCAACTCACCTTACTCCTTCGAAGGCATGGACCTAACCTTTTATGCGGATTTGAGCAGCAGCACCTTGGCATGGCGTCGGGAGCTGCGGCCGCTTACTATCCTCCTACAGAAGCATAACCTTAACTACAGATGGCGACCCTCACGTGCCCTGTCAGTCGCCCATGGGACTACAACTCACATCATCCGAGACCTCCAAGAAGCCAAAACGCTCCTGCAGAAACTGGGCATTCCCCAACACCTCCTACCCACCGAAGCACCGGAGGCAGCACAGCGACCAACCCACGGCTGGAATCCGGAAACTACGGCGGAATTTGTACCCAGACAGGCCGCCCAGGGCTTACAGGACACTACCAAGACCTGACTTTATGAGAGACAGCCTATCATAGGCCCAGTACTGGACCCACACACTCTGGCAGCCCGATCCACACAAGGCCCTTAAACCCACATACCCACTCACAAGCCGAGCATACACCGCTTCTTAACCTCCCTTAGATTGGTGGACGGTACCCGCCACGGTTCCCCCCCCCCCTCAGGAATATAATTTATTTATTTTTCTCCTCCCCGTTCATACTATATACATATATAGAGTCTCCCCCGTAGGTATGCAACACCGCTCCTACTACCGGCAACTCCGATCCAGCACAACACCTTGCACAACAGCATCCACACAGGGGAATTGCTCACAGTGCACTCTCACTTTTCTTTTCTCGCTCCATTCTATATGTGCAACGAGTGACAGGGACCTAGCAGGGTTACCGGGCCCGGTGGCTTTCTCAGCTACGAGTCACCACTTTTTATCTTCAGGGGATTTATGGGCCCTATCCCTAACATGATCACATAACTTACACTATGTAAGCAGTTTATTTGGGTAAATACAGTATAGCCTGATACAGTTAGCTATGAGAAAGAAGCAGCTATTAGACCACATACTATTACTTACCTAACCAATGCCTACCTATAAAAATTGTACATAATCCTGCAGCCATAATACGTTTTGACATGGCATTCGCTTTTTGGTATTTGTCATATTGCCTGTGACCTTTCATATTTACTCTTGTGCCCTATATCAATGAAGGCATATTGTGGTTCATCTCTCTAACAATACCAGTCTACTTCGCTTGCCTAAGCTACCCTCTGCGGGACTTCCTAGTCCATGAATATAGTAACATAAGCTTGAACAACTAACCTGCAATGTTCTCTAACACCATTATTGCCTATCTTACGCTAATACAGTTTCTACTGTTTAACAACAATCAACCTAGATATAACTCGTTGTTAAGTGTTTCAAAAATTTTTAAAAAATGTGCAAAGTTTTTTCCACTGCCTAATTAATGTAAACCTTTGTTTAACTCTGCATACCCTGGCTATTGTGGCACGGTACGCTTTATGTGAAATTCCATGCACAAATAAAATAAAGAATTCAAAAAAAAAAAATATAGTAGTAATACAGTGGATTATGATTACGAGATTGTTGTTGACATTTTGTGAGGAATCTTAGCCCAGGTACGTTTTGAAGTGTAGAGCCCACTTTGGGAGGTGGGGGGCTGTATGAGGCTGTGGAGGCTGAATGAGGCCTCAAGGGAAAAAAGTAAAATGGTAAACCTTCTTACCTGTTACCGAAATGCAGGATACTGGGTACCTCTTCTTGGAGCTCTGTTTGAAGAAAAGTATAAGTAGTAGCAAGGTGGTGTAGGTTTGTGTGATTGATGTTTTAAACTCCGTGAGGAACTCAGAACTGGCCTGTTAGAAGTTTAGAACCCACTTTGGGAGGTGGGGAGGCTGCAGAGGCCGTGGAAGCTGTATGAGGCCTCGAGGGAAAAGAGAACTGGTAAACCTACTTACCTGATACAGTAATACAGGGTACTGGGATACCACTTCTTGAAGACTGGAGATGTATTAAATACGTAAATTATAAAAGAAAGTGGCCAAACTGTGCCTTTAAGAAGATTACCCTGTGAAAAATAGATGTCCCACAATTATGTGACCATGGATGGAAATTTGTAGAACACATATATTTCACCCAGTGGTGACTTTAAGAGCCATATAATAGACTTAACATCATATAGGAAAAAATGAATGTGAGTGCTTGGTTTAGATTAGTACATTTAAACACTGTAGCCCCTTTCGTTCAGTTAACCGAATGAACAAGAGTACTATAAATAGAAAGAACTCCTGCATTCGGTAAATGGAACACACGAAAGGATTTTAACGAAAGCAAATTGAAAAATCAGCTGCAGACTGTAACGTGTAAATTAATTGGTTGCATGAAAAAGCCATTTGAACGTGTTCAGCTGAACGAACGTACGAAATAATGAACGGATGTACGAAAGAACAGACGAACGTAGGGTAAGTGTGCACGTACGGTACATATAATTCAACGAAAGTAAATGAAAGTGTGTGTATTCCGCGTTCGGCTGTTAGCCGCACGAACGCGGAATACACGAACAGCGTAATAGCACGAATAGGTAAGTAATGAAGGGAGCCTATCCCCGTGTTTTTATGCCTGAACGTGGGCAATAGCCAAACACTATTTCTCATGTTATGCTTACGTGGACGTACCGGTCTCGTGACCGGAAGCCGTGTAGCGAGTAGGGAAGTCGGGTAGAAGTCAGTGGACAGGCACGGAAGACGGAGGTAGTTGCTGCTGGCGACGGACTGTTTGCTGGAGACTGACTTTGGCGGGAACAACGGACCGGAAGTGCTGGTTGCTATGGTGAAGACAAACAGCTTGCACAACAAAGGTAAGTAGGGGGGTAGGGTTTATATATTATCATAACTCCTCCCTCAAATTCAGGCCAAATGGCCTTCCAACATATATATATATATATATATATAATATAAGCCAGTAAGGCAGAACTACACTATATATATATATATAATATGCCTATTATATTTACACATATATTAATGTATTTATATATGCATAATACACAGAGAGGTGTCATTGATATGTACCATATGTAATGAGCAGGTATTGGCCCAGTCTTGTTGCTGGGTGCATACTCCAGCACAATAACATATTTAAAGTGAAGAGAGCACCCACAGGACTTCAAAATAAACAAGATAATGTCATTTTTTACAGTTGTGCCCTACATACATTCACCATTTCAGTCCCATTACCAAGCTTTCCTTAATATGTCAAGGTAGTTGGACTGAAACATTGATTGCATTCAGTCTGCTTAAAATAAATCTGCACTTTTGTTTATTTTGAAGCCTATGAGTGCGCTTTTTACGTTGAAGTACTTTTTAATTTGAAGTTAACTGTTCTAACTCTGTATCTGCACACTATGCTGGCGCGACGCATTATGGGGCTGGTAAATATTTTTTTTCCAGGGCTGTTTTTAATTCCCAGTGGCCCTGCATGTATGTATGTGTTGTCAGTGAAGGCCTGGTTATTGGTGCTCAGTGGGTAGGTGTGCCTTTAAGAGCACAGGTTTCCCTGTCCTAGTAGTAAACCAGGAAGGGGGCGTGGCTATCCAGATATGTATCCATATTTTTGTTTCCTTGCTGGAGTTCTTGCATTCGGAGGGACTCTCGCTCTTTCTCTGATTGGTGGAAGAAGCAGTGGGCGTGTCCCTTGCTGTCAGGTTCTCCCACACTAACCTTTGCTGAGGTTTTAGAACGTCATGGCAGGCAGCAGTAACCCTGGACAGCTCCCGGCGGCCGCCCAGGACTCGGACTCCGACTCGGACTCAGAGGGACTGCGACCGCGGCTGCAGGTCATCCACAGCGGGCACTTCATGGTGTCCTCACCGCACAGCCATGACAAGCAGCCGGCCAAGGGCAACATTGACCCCACACTTACCCGGCTGTTTGAGTGCATGAGCCTGGCATACAGGTAAGGGCTGCTACTGACTGCCCCTTCATGGCATACAGAGTGTTAAACCAAGGAATGTCACAACTGGCTAAATGGGTGCTGTGAGCCTGGCATGTAGAGAATTAAAGGAGTGTCATTTATTAGCTAAATGAGTGATGTAAGTCTGGCATGCACATGGTTAAACTAAGGAGTGTCATTTAACTGACTACATGGGTACTATGAGCCTGGCATGCAGAGGGTTAAACTATGGAGTGTCATTTAACTGACTACATGGGTACTGTGAGCCTGGCATGCAGAGGGTTAAACTATGGAGTGTCATTTAACTGACTACATGGGTACTGTGAGCCTGGCATGCAGATAGTTAAACTAAGGAGTGTCATTTATTAGCTAAATGAGTGATGTAAGTCTGGCATGCACATGGTTAAACTAAGGAGTGTCATTTAACTGACTACATGGGTGCTGTGAGCCTGACATCCACAGGGTTAAACTAAGGAGTGTCATTTAACTGACTACATGGGTACTATGAGCCTGGCATGCAGAGAGTTAAACTAAGGGGTGCCATTTATTAGCTAAATGAGTGATGTAAGTCTGGCATGCACATGGTTAAACTATGGAGTGTCATTTAACTGACTACATGGGTACTGTGAGCCTGGCATGCAGAGAATTAAACTAAGGAGTGTCATTTAACTGACTACATGGGTACTGTGAGCCTGGCATGCACAGGGTTAAACCAAGAAGTGTCGTTTAACTGACTACATGGGTACTGTGAGCCTGGCATGCAGATAGTTAAACTGAGTGTCATTTAACTGACTACATGGGTACTGTGAGCCTGGCATGCAGGTAGTTAAACTGAGGAGTGTCATTTAACTGACTACATGGGTATTCCGAGCCTGGCATGCAGATAGTTAAACTGAGGAGTGTCATTTAACTGACTATATGGGTACTGCGAGCCTGGCATGCAGAGAGTTAAACTAAGGAGTGTAATTTAGCTGACTACATGGGTACTGTGAGCCTGGCATGCAGCTCGATAAACTAAGGAGTGTTATTTAACTGACTACATGGGTACTGTGAGCCTGGCATGCACATGGTTAAACTAAGGAGTGTCATTTACCTGACTACATGGGTAGTGTGAGCCTGGCATGCACATGGTTAAACTAAGGAGTGTCATTTAACTGACTACATGGGTACTGTGAGCCTGGCATGCAGCTCGTTAAACTAAGGAGTGTTATTTAACTGACTACATGGGTACTGTGAGCCTGGCATGCACATGGTTAAACTAAGGAGTGTTATTTAACTGACTACATGGGTACTGTGAGCCTGGCATGCACATGGTTAAACTAAGGAGTGTCATTTAACTGACTACATGGGTACTGTGAGCCTGGCATGCAGATCGTTAAACTAAGGAGTGTCATTTAACTGGCTGAGTGCTGTGAGCCTGGCATGCAGAGGGTTAAACCAAGGAGTGTCATTTAACTGGCTGCGTGCTGTGAGCCTGGCATTAAAAGGGTTAATCTTTAGAATGTCAGAGGTTTTGACTGAGGATTTGGTAAACGCTGCTTTACTAATTCTTTTTTAGGAAATCGATACACTGCTTTGGGACACCCATGGTTAGAAAATGGGTATGCCTCTTTAGGACCCCAAGTTTTATGAACTGGGCACACCACTTGGTTTGGAATTAGACACACTGCTTTACGGTTAACTGTTAATTGATCTTAGGCACACCAGTTGTTGTGGGCTATTTTTCCCACTGTGTCAGGTATCCAACATACAGTTATTAATTTTGATTTGCAGCAATGTACAGTGGCATGGATTGGCTTGATTGGGAATATAGACCATAAATGGAGCCCTGAAGGTTAGCCATCACTGTGTTATTAGGTGGTAAGGCATGTATGTTAGCATGATAAAGCATCATCGGACATTTTGTACATAACTGCTAGAGAGGCAATAGCCATTAAGCTCACAGCAGCTGGTGTGTCAGATACTAGCCATATCTGATTTAAGCATTAACACCGATGTTTTGGATGAAATGGGTTAGTTTGGCAATTTACATGGGGCAGCAGTCTTTAGAAGGCTATGTGATTATGGAGCGATGTTCTGCAGAGTAATTAGACTAACAGAGAGGGGGATTTTCCTGTGATGTTTAATCTTTGCCATTGAGGATGTTAGTGGAGCAAAGTTCAACAAGTCTGTTGTGGAAGGGCTAATGGAATCATATTCAGCAGGACTACTTTATCTAAGGACTAATGGGATAATAATCTACAGCAGTGAAAAGCTTAATGGAGCAACAAGCTCAACATCCAGACTCTAAAATTGACTGAGAGCAATACTGTTCATGTCTGGGGCTGGACGTGTGAGGTGGATGTCTGTAGCACATGTAGAAGGGGTTGTCCAATGCTCTATCCTCTATTATTACGATTCAACAATATTCTAAGGCTTGAAGTGAATCTTTCTAGGTTCATTTAAAAGGAAGTCAAATATTAAAGTGGATATGTCACTTTTTTGATTTTTTTAAAAGTAAATTGTATATTAAGTAAAGTATTTCTTAGGAGATGTGTGTATGTGTCTTTCTGAGAGACTTAGATAGACCCCCAAACTCCTATCCATCTGCAAGGTTTTTTGTAAAATGCATATTTGCCAGTTACGTAAAATAAATGGCAGGAAAATGCCAATGACACCATCAACTTTGCACAGTCTTCATTCTCACAAATGTGTAATAATGCATCAGTGACACAAGTGACCCAACAGTGAAAAAGCAAGCCTGCAAGCAGTTACACAGAGAAAGATAGTGGCTCTGAAAACACTATTTACAGGATTTTAAATGTATTCAGTATATTTCAGCTAAACATGAAATAATAGTGGCATGTCTGCTTTAATAGATGAATTTGAAGGTTGTATAACTTATTACAAGTATCTTTATGTTGGATTGGCAGTAACGACCTTTGTATGCATGAGATCCCGGTTGTCATACTCCTCAACGTTAATAGTTTGTGCAAATGTTAAGTCGGATATTATTATTATTTTTACAGTCACACTGAACCGAGTGCCTAAAGGGTTACTCCAACCAGCATTCTGCTTTAAGAAGTGGTAATGGTGGTGGGATTCTGTAGGATATTTACACTGGTGTTCTAACTGTTAAAGGGACACTAAAGTCACCAGAACCACTACAGCTTAATTTAGTGGTCCTGGTGTTTATAGCCTGTTCCTGCATCTTAGTACTGTAAACATCGTCTTTTAAGAGAAAAGTGTTTACATTGCTGCCTAGTAACAGCTGTAGTGGCCATCACTCAGACAGCCACTAGAGGTGCTTTCTAGTCCAGTGATGCACAGTGTGTGGCACTTATTTTTAGCTGCATGGAGGCGATGGATGTTTCCCATAGAGATACATTGATTCAATTAATCTCTATGAGGAGATGCTGCTTGGCCAGTGGTGAAATAGGGACCGCATGCTGGGGGGTCTGTTTATAAATGAACATGCTGTCCTGAATAAAATCATATCTACTCTCAACTTTAAGTCTCGGCTAATGTATGGGGGGGGGAAAGCTGTACCAGCTATAACACTACTTACACTTGAAGGAGCTATAACACTAAGGGAAAGGGAATCCTTGGTGGCGATACAGTGGTGATGCGCCACATCTGGTGACAGTGGTGGGATGGTCCCTTTCCTGGAGCTTGAGTGGTTCCAATGATTTTTAAATATCGATTTCAAAGAAAACATAGCATGAAATAAAGTTAACACGGGTTATTGGTGATTTTCAATGTTTTTTTCAGTGGTGTGATTTCCAGAGAAGTGTAAGAAACAATCAAGGCACTATAACCACTACAGCTAATTGTAGTGGTTATGGTGCAAAGACTGTCATACGTGTACTGGTTCCTAGTGTTCCGTAGTGGACATACATTCTTTGACATTGCCAATATTCACTCCTGCGTGACACTGATCTGCCCCAAGGATACATTTCATTAAATGTTCAAGAGGCATTTTGTCGTTTGTTGTATGGTACATAATTCTTTATGGCATGCATATTTTCTTTCTTATTTGATGTATGATCACAAACTATACATATATACCTAGATTTCTAAAAGAACATTCCAAGCACTGTAACAACTACAGTGTGCTGTTGCGGTTATGGTGTTATGAGTGCCCTGACCCCCCCCCCCCCCTTCATTGTAAGGAGTCGAACAATTTTAGGACAGTTTGATTTCTCACATGTCGTCCGCAAGGCGCAATTCCCTGCCTCCACTACTGCTTAGTGAGAGCTAGAAGCTCCTGCTCAGAAGCTTCCATTAGCTCTGATTGGCAGCTGATCACTAAGCTCTGATCGGCCAATGAGCTAAACCCTGCACCGCTGGCCTTAATTCCGTGAGGAGAGCTTCTGGCTCTCACTGAGTGTAGGTGGGGTGTGACATCCAGGTAAGACGTTAAAATAGCTTGATTGCATAAAATGATGGGCTTCAGTACATACATGACGCCATAAACAGTGCAGAACAATGTAGTGGTTATGGTGCTTGTAGAGTTCCTTTAATGCCTTACTCACTGAACAAAATACTGGGCAGATTGCTCTGTAGTTGTACTGTGTGAATGGACTTCTCTTTGAAGGAGAATTCCTCTTTGTGTCTAAAATGGGTTCAACATTTGAACTTGAACCCAGTTTTACACCAAGAACGATAAAGCCACAATCCTTTCACTTCCACAAGTTAGAGCAAGTATGTTCAGTGAAGTCCTACCAGAGTGAGAAAAGAACACACAACACAAAAAATTCTATCGGGCAAAGCCAAACAATTACAATACCCTCCAGATATCTTCTTTATTTCTTTTAAATAACAAGTTCCTTACTTGGCTCAGGAAAGTAAACCTGATAAAAAAATAATCTGCCACCTCCGTTTTTATACCTATTTATCAGACATTGGCTCCCAGAATTGCTTTTTTTTGACAGTCATTCTCCTCTCCCCCCACTGCGCTGGCGTTCCTGGAGATTTGCACGTTGGCAGTATCAAGAGACTAGATTTGTTATAATGTTGAACTCTGGCCAGTAATGCATTATATTTTGCTACATATTCCGTATTTCTACTACGCCGTACTATTTTTTTACTTTTTTTTTTTTTTAATTCTATTTATGTAGGAAAACAATATTAAAATGGATGAATAGAACAATACAGTGTCTAATGTTTCTTTTCCAGATCATTGCCCAGATCATTGTATCTCCACCTTCAAATTTAGAATATATAACAGTCAACCAATATTTGCCATTCATTAATGTATACCAGCCATCCAATAATTTCCAATATCGAATTATTATTATTCGCTCTCATAGTCCTGAAGATTTTGCATGCAGTCAATTGGATATTTTGATTGGGGTGCAAATCCCAAACCCAACCCACAAAAAAGTTTGGAGTGTTGATTGGTAGATGGGGCAGGTACCAATTTTAAAAAGAGGTAGTCAACCTTCAGCACTTCAGCAGATTTTGTGGACTGCATATCCCATAATGCTCTTACAGCCACAATGCTGGCAAAGCATCAGGTGAGTTGTAGTCTAAAACATCTGGCGCACCGAAGGTTGTCTACTCCTGCACCTAGTCTATACATTGGCTAGTAATTCTACTAGTACAATGTGTAGATAAGCATATACTTAATAAATCACATATGCGTTGTGTATGCCATATACAGTAACGCTATAATTATCATCATATTTTTTGCTCCAACAGTTTCTGCATTCTGGAGCATGGTTCTTAATCAAAGTTTTTTTCTGATAATTATGTAGGAGTACCAGGCATAGACTTGTATTCTATGAAAAGTTACATTTAAAAAAATAAATAAATCCAGGAGCAGGTGCTAGCAAAGTGGTTCAGAAATGTCGCTTCAGCTTGGCCTCCTACACCATTTGTTCTCAGGATACTCTATCTGTGAAAGTATTTATTGATCATTTTCCAACTTGGCTCAGAAGAATGTAAATCTCTGTGCTTTAAAAGATTGTTGCTCCTCCATTTCTCCTTCCATGAAGATCTGTTGATACAACTAACCATCCAACACAACAGTCCACTATACTTATTGTATACCCTTATCATACATATTGTAACAACTATTACAACAATCTATAAATATGACCTCCACAGCAATCATAACATGCACAACTGACAAAGTAAGGACTACTTCATTGTATGTGTGCCTGGATAAAATGCAAAGTCAGGCTGGCATGTTTCAGCTGATATTTTAACAACGCATGCCCATTCTTGAGAAATTCCAAGGAGGGTTCCTTTAACATAAATTCACACTTTCTTTTTTATTTTTGCAGTGCATAAGGTGAGTACAAGCAAGCCTGAGGTACACAAAAGGCAATCCTCAGGCATGGCATCATGGTTTACAGTTGAGGTTATAGATAGGGCATGTACAATTTTACAATATAATGATAAACAACAAGCTTAACTAAGGGTCTAGACCTGAGATTGATGGGTTATGTAAGGTAAAGTAAAATAACAAGCTTAACTAAGGGTCTAGACCTAAAATTGATGGGTTATGTTAGGTAAAGTAAAATAAGCTTAACTAAGGGTCTAGACCTGAGATTGATGGGTTATGTTAGGTAAAGTAAAATAACAAGCTTAACTAAGGGTCTAGACCTGAGATTGATGGGTTATGTTAGGTAAAGTAAAATAACAAGCTTAACTAAGAGTCTAGACCTGAGATTGATGGGTTATGTTAGGTAAAGTAAAATAACAAGCTTAACTAAGGGTCTAGACCTGAGATTGATGGGTTATGTTTGATAAAGTAAAATAACAAGCTTAACTAAGGGTCTAGACCTGAGATTGATGGGTTATGTTAGGTAAAGTAAAATAACAAGCTTAACTAAGGGTCTAGATCTGAGATTGACACGTAATGGTAGGTAAAGTAAGGCAAGGTTAGATTCAGATAAATTAACAATTCCAACATGGCAATAAATTTAGTAGATTAATCGTATTGCTCAGGAAGTAAACTTAAAGGGTATTACGATTTGCATAATGTTCTGAACCTATTATTTAATGACGGGATGAAGAGAGTCCCACAATGGTGAGTGGGCATCCACGTGAGGGAGTGTGACTCAAGGTTCCCAGTGGGGAGCAACATGGCGATGCTTGTCATCGGTCATCCAATTCCTATGCGTAGGCTTTGTACAGTTCTTACAAAGTGTGTGTATGTGTATATATATATATATATATATATATATATATATATATATATATATATATATATGTGTGTGTGTGTGTATATATATATAGTTATATTGAAAAAAGATGCACTCTTCGGTCTTTTGAAAAATATTAACAGTCTTTAATCCATAGAAGGTTTACAAATTGCTTGATCAACGTTTCGACCCGTTCGGGTCTTCCTCCCTTGATCAAGCAACTTGTAACCCTTCTATGGATTAAAGACTGTTAATATTTTTCAAAAGACCGAAGAGTGCATCTTTTTTCAATATAACTATTTATCTGCATAAGTTTGCACCAGGGCACTTCTAGTAAGGGTGAGTGCCATCATCTGTGATATATATATATATATATATATATATATCTCACACGTGCTCCCAGGTAGTGGGTAAAATATATAAAATTAAAATTACCCTTAAAATAAAATAGATTGTGAGAAGATCCTTTGTGTCTTCTTAATTGAAATATAGGAAATACAATCTAGGAATACAAACATAACAAATAATAGTGTAGTATATTAAAACACCAAAATTGCGCTGCAGGCTAAGTTGCACTCACAAGATAATAACTGATTGTAGGCATATAGATTATCTCAAAGATCAGAAGAGCTTGATCTTATCTCTTGACCTTAAATGGGAGTTAAGAGAGAGACACAGACATAGTGCACCAGTAAAATAACTTAAAGTATTTATTTAGAGAATAGAAATGTAAATCCAGCATGTCACAAAACCAAACCCTAAGGACCACGGACTTGAATGGAACCCCTTATGGTCAGGAACGAAATGTAAAGCAGCCATTAAAAACAGCATAAAAACAAATTAAAGTGCTGAATGAGTCTATCCGCTTTACGCGTTTCGTCCTAAATAGGACTTCCTCAGGGAAAATTGAAGATGTGACTTAATCTCCTCCATTCATTTTTTTTAAAGGTGATTTTGAGACTTTCCACTGTGTCTTCAGCCAATGGGAACGCGGTGCTGTAATTCAATTCACTTGAGTTCAGTCATTTCCAGGCTTGCGTTCCATGCCTCTCTCAAATGCGTGTCACTGAAGGAACATCCAGTCTCGCGTGGAACGCACCATGCATGCCAGAAGTTAGTTGCGTTTGTGAGTACACCAACATGATGGGGTATATTTCATGATAAGACCAGAAAAATTAAATCATAGCATTAGCTCAACTTAAATAACGTGAGCTATGATTCAAAATTTATAAAAATAAACACATACAGGTGATACTCAAAAAATTAGAATATCGGGCAAAAGTTCATTTATTTCAGTAATGCAATATAAAAGGGGAAACTAATATATGAGATAGACGCATTACATGCAAAGCAAGATAGTTCAAGCCATGATTTGTCATAAGTTTTCTTTAAAGGACCACTCTAGGCACCCAGACCACTTCAGCTTAATGAAGTGGTCTGGGTGCCAGGTCCTTCTAGGGTTGACCCATTTTTAAATAAACATAGCAGTTTCAGAGAAACTGCTATGTTTATGAATGGGTTAAGCCTTCCCCCAAAGCCTCTAGTGGCTGTCTCATTGACAGCTACTAGAGGCGCTTGCGTGCTTCTCACTGTGATTTTCACAGTGAGAGCACGCCAGCGTCCATAGGAAAGCATTGTAAATGCTTTCCTATGCAACCGGCTGAATGCGCGCGCAGCGCTTGCCGCGCGTGCGCATTCAGCCCAGGAGGAGGATCAGAGGAGGAGAGGAAGCAGAGAGCTCCCCGCCCAGCGCTGGAAAAAGGTAAGTTTAAACACCTTTCCCCCTTCCAGAGATGGGCGGGTGGGGGCACCCTCAGGGCACTATAGTGCCAGGAAAACGAGTATGTTTTCCTGGCACTATAGTGGTCCTTTAAAGTACTTACAAATCTTTATTACATATGGTTGTGATATAAATGTTTCAGTCAATTAAGCTGTACTTTCATCAGCATATCCTCATAGAGATTTATTGGCCCAGTACATCTCTATGGGGAGCGTTCAGTGCCTCCATGCAAAATTTGTTGACTCTGTCCTGCAAACTTTGCAGTACTGAACCCAGGAAGTCTCTTTTAATGGCTGTCCAAGTGACAGCCTCTAGAGGTGGCATTAAGCAGCAGTGTAAACACCTTTTCTGCCTTTCACAGTTTACATTAATGTATATTTGTTTTTTATAAAATGATATCAAATGCATTTTTGCAACAAAACGGTCGTCGGGACTAAAGTTTAGTGTGTGGGTATCTTAGTGATAATAGGGATGATTACATTTTAAAATTACATTCATTGATAAATTGTGGATTAGATTCCACTCTATTTAAGTACCTCTCCTTTTGTTTGTCTTACTACAGGGTTGCCCAAGAGGTAGATCCTCAGATGTTGTAAAACTACAGCTTCTGTGATGCTTTGCCATTCTAAACACATTACAAATGCACGCAAAGCATCGTGGAAGTTGTAGTTGTACAACATCTGGGGAATCTTCCTTTTCAGCACAGAGTCTTACTCTATATTCGGCTACTCCTATGAATGTAAATCTAGATTAGAATTGTTAGGTGTTGGGTATAAGAGGCATGCATGCTCTTGAGGGCTATCCTCATTTATTATACATACAACTTCTACCTTTTGATACCCTTTCCAATTTATGATATAATGTGTTCACTGCTTGGGAGATGTGCCCATCTGGTTATATTGCACTAGTTTGCCATTTTTTTTTTCCCATGTGATTAAGGGCACTCACCGCCAGTGGCGGATCCAGAGCCTGATCTCGGGAGGGGCACTTGTAGATTATTTAAAGAAATAATCCAGACACAATAACCACTACAGCTCAGTGTAGTGGTTATGGTGTCAATAGTGCCAGGACCCCCTCCCACAGTAAGTAGTCAAACCGTTTAAGAACAGTTTGACAACTTACCTGAGATCTGCTGGGAAATGGGGCTGTAGTAGGGCATAGGAGCAGTGGTGTGTGTGAGTGGTGCAATGTGTAAGGGGTGCAGTGTGTGTGTGAAGGTTGTAGTGTGTGAGTGAGGGCAGCAGTGTATGTCAGGGATGCAGTGTATGTGTGGGACAGTATGTGTGTGTAACAGTTGCAGTATGTGTGTATGGGGGGCAGTATGTGTGTATGTGTATGGGGGGGCAGTTTGTGTATATGGGGGCAGTGTGTGTGTATGTGGGAGCAGTGTGTGTATGTGGGGGCAGTGTGTGTGTATGAGGGGCAGTTTGTGTGTATGGGGGCAGTTTGTGTGTATGTTTGTGTGTGTATGGGGGCAGTGTGTGTGTGTGTGAGTATATGGGGGCAGTGTGTGTGTGTGTATGGGGGCAGTGTGTGTGTGTATGGGGGCAGTGTGTGTGTATGGGGGTTTGTGTGAATGGGGGCATATGTGTGTATGGGGGGCAGTGTGTGTGTATGGGGGGCAGTGTGTGTGTATGGGGGCAGTATGTGTGTATGGGGAGCAGTATGTGTGAGCAGTGTGTGTATGTGGGGCAGCGTGTGTATGAGGGGCAGTTTGTGTGTGTATGGGGGCAGTTTGTGTGAATGGGGGTAGTTTGTGTGTATGGGGGTATTTGTGTGTGTATAGGGGCAGTTTGTGTGTATGGGGGGCAGTGTGTGTGTGTGTATGGGGGGCAGTGTGTGTGTATGTGTGTGTGTATGGGGGGGGCAGTTTGTGTGTATGGGGGGGCAGTTTGTGTGAATGGGGGGCAGTTTGTGTGTATGGGGGGGCAGTTTGTATGAATGGGGGGGCAGTATTGGGGGCAATGTATGTGTCTGTGGCTTTTTTTTTAATAATATATATATTTTTTTATTTAATTCGAATTTAATTTTTTTATTTAATTATTTATCCGAAATATGTCCCCCCTCCCTTCTTACCTTTACTGGGGAGAAGGGGGGACATACTTCGATCCCTGGTGGTCCGGTGGGGGATTCATTGGTGGTCCAGTGTGGAGAGTGAACTCTAGCCCGCGCTCCCGGGCTAGAGTTCACTCTCGCGAGATTTGGAGCGTTGCCGTGGTAACCGCGGCAACGCTTCAAATCTCACGAGAGGAGGACCCGGAGGAGCTGCAGACTGAGCTCCGGGTCCTCTCTCTCACTCCCTCCCTCCCCTGCCGGCTCTCAGCACAGTGCCTGCCATGCTGGCAGGGGAGGGAGAGGGAGACCGGCGGATTTCTCGGGGGGGGCAATTGCCCCGTTGCCCCCCCCCCCTGGATCCGCCACTGCTCACCGCAGACCTGATTATTGATTATTTGTCTTATCCTAAATAGAAGGTTTTCTGAATACTATTTTTCAGGTCTAAAGCTGAGATTGTTGTAGCCGTTGTTTTTACATGTTTTTACACAGATCAATGTATCTTTCTTTTTTTTTTTATAGATGTATACTTAAAAAAATGTAAGTTTTATGATGTATAGGTCTGTTTTTTTTTCCTTTTTCCTTTTTGGTACATAATGTTAGTTTAAAGTTATTACCCCCTCAATAGTGTTTCCAGCCTGACACACTCTCGCTGACTTCATCTGGTGTTTATCGAAGTTTGCTTTGTAATGGTACAAGTTAGCAAAAACATTTTTGAGACCTGAGCCGAGCAGGGACTAAACGAAGGGCAAGCGCCTGAAATTTTCTAAGCTTTGGGGCATTCTCAGAGTACTCATAATCTCTGTTTTTGCTGCAACAGTTTTACTGACTGACATTAGGAGCCCCCCAGTGCACTTCAGGGACAATAACCACTACAGTGTCAAGGAATACAACTTAATACAACTTGATTGAGATGAAGTTGTTGTGAGGCCCTTAATACCAGTGCTTTGTATTGTGCATTGAAAAGCATTTTAATAGTCAGCAATCAAAGAGATTATACCCATGACGTAAGCAGCCAGATACTGACTTCCTATTTTATAATTATCAAACATTTTCATTAAGCAAAGTATAAATAAATAAAAAACAGGATGACTTCAGTACGTTTGCTGTAATCTTGTGTTCCGGATATCGTCTTTCACCTGTTTCCACATTAAATGTACTAATTTAGT